GAATTACACTGCAATATGGTGTCGGAGCATTAGATACCAATAGTAATTCCATCGCACCTAATCCTACTGACACTGCATCGCATATCTTGGGGTGATAGAACATCGGATAGGCCCATCCGATACAAATATCTTGGCAGTGACACCACCCTCTCAACAACTGGGGTCAAGGTCCTGTCCAAGTTTTAAGAGAAGCAGCTCACCCTCAAGCACATTTGACTTGAAGTTGAGGGCTTAACAGAGGAAGATATTGTTGGCACTCCCCACTCAAAAGGCTTCCTTGAAATTTTCCCAAGTCATATAGGCTTCTCAAACATGTCTGAAGTCTTCAACAAGCTGCACCATTTCCTTGAATTGGCTCTCCCACTGCCAAAAGGGGGTGGAATAATTATCACATTCAATTCCAACTCTCCTGCAAACCTTTGGGTCCTGATTTCAGTTGGAATGTAAACCAATGTATGCTTACATGAGTTATCACCAAAGTATGAGGGAACTGTTGAGTTGACTCCATGAGCACATGTATACATGTAGAAAGCACCTATGGCCACCACAAGTGTCTGTAGACTAGTGGTAAAAGGCAGAACTCTGGTATGTGTCTCAGCTCTCATGCTGAGGTTGTGGGTTTGAATCCTACCAGACACATAGGGACATTTTACCACCTCTACAATTTCTAGGATGGTCAAGAAAAAAGAAAGATGAGCCATGGTTAGATTCCAAGCCAAAAAACCCAAAAGTGGAGGATTAGGTGAAAAATCTCACAGTGTATTCTAGCTCATTCACTTTGAAAGCTCCAGATGCAATGAGTGCAAAGATGGGCAGAATTCAGTGACAGCTGAATACTGTCACCCAACAACTGACCTTATTCATGGCCATAAAAAACAAGACCCTGGCCCCTCACACCTTGCAATAAACTGGTTACTCTGATGAGCCTAACTAGCTGACCTGTGGCTCTGCCATTTCCTCCTACTCCCTTGCTGCATCAAAACATGTGCAGCCCTCTCCTGCCTCCAAAAATGACCACTAAGAATACTTGGAAGACTGAACCCAAGCCCTTCATTTCCATTGGCCAAGATCTCTTTGGAAGCAGTTACTGGGTGTCCAGGAAACAAAAAGAATTTTATCAAGCTGGTCAAAAATACCCTAACTGCCACGGAATTCAAGTCAAGGAATATTGGCTTCAACTTATTCAGAGAAGAATGGTCTACTGTAAAGCCTCCAATGACCTAGTTCTTTATACTGAAAATACTCAGCTCACTAATTGTAATAAGGAGTCTGTTGAAAAGTGACTGCCTAGTGACTCCCAAGACTTAACCTACATGCCAAAAAGCCACCATAATATGGTTCAAAGCATGCCCACTACCTTTGAAAAAACGGCTCAGAGGACAGGGAAGATCTCATGGTAAAAAATACCAAAGAACTCACAGAAACCCCTATCTGGCTCTGGTGAAGGGACCTGGATAATAATGATGGGAAACATTACTCAATTTTGATCTTTACCATGCCTCACACTGTATCTTCCCAGACTGCTGTTGAAAGATAGATTTACACATCTCTGATCTTAGCCATACCTGACACTGTATCTACACACAATTTTGTTGGAAGACAGATCTTCTGGAGAAGAAACAAGCATACTAAAAAAAAAGACTCCTGAAATCCTGGTGCATCAACTCTCTCAAAACTGATTACTTGGGAGCCACTTGCTAAAATCTCAAACTCTGCCCTTATTGTAGCAACAAATTCCATGCACATTCCTGTAAGGCAAAATAAACAGCCAAGACAAAATGTACTTTGTGTGCAAGGGTAGCTGAAAAATGTGATACCTCTCTTGATCTAAAAGTCACCTTTAAGCTTTATTTGCAAATGCTTATGCATTCACCACTCAGCTATTTATTCTTTCATCAAATTGCTCAAATCAAACTGCTGAAAGAGAAAAATTTTGATGCAACAGCAAAACTAATCCCCTCTTCACCTGATTTCACTCATGACTCCCAATGAGCACAACCTCAAACTTTCCTCTTTAGATAACACCTCATTCACTTCTCAACTTGATTGTTGATGCTCACCAGGTGTTGTACACTCTCTCTTCAGTAATGCTAAAACTTCTTTTTTCCTTGTTGTAGCCCTTCAAGAACCCTAAATCAACCTTTATAATGATTTACCCCTCAGTCATAAAGGGTGGACTCTTATTGCTCCAGTCCCAGATGACCTCATAAAGAAATCATGTCCAAGAGTTTGCTTATACATCAACTCAGAAAACCTCACACTTTTCAATAAAGTGGTGAGCCTGTCACACAATACAATAATGTGCACAATATAAAAAAAAATTGTCTCTTTATCATCAACATCCACAACCAGTCAAAAACCTTTGATGGGTTTGAAGCACTAAAAAACCTAGGATTATTCCTGAATAATGCTCCTATCCTCCCTATAGTACTAACAACAGTTGTTTATTTCCTATAATGGATTCCACAGCACAAAACTAGTCAAAAAGCCAATTCTGAATGCCTTTATGAGCTTATGACCAATTGGCACCGGTTCCCTAAGCCTCCAGGTTGATTGCCTACTTACAACCTTGACAGAACCAACACCAGAGGCACCACAGTTGACCTGGTATGGGTCACTGAGGAGGCTTTTGATCTCATCACTGCCTTCCTCATTGACTCACAAAACGAGTCTAATCACAACTCAGATCACCAAGGCCTGTGTCTGAGTTTCAATACCTTGGGGTATGAATACATCCTATGCACTGCCTAACACTAGAGGGCTCGCGCGATGAATTCTAGGACTTCAAAGATGTTACTGATATTTCCGGTTCAAATTTTTTCTCTGCAGCTGGTCATTGTCTCTTTCATCCTTTGGATATTTCGAAAGCTCCGATATTTGAAGTTGACCAACTCACCTCACCCATCCCAAGTTTTCTTATAATTAGTGCTTTCCGTTGCTACGCCCCCCCGTTCCTAAGTGAGAGTCAATGAATATCTCACTGACTTTGTGGCATAGCACAGACTCTTCGGCCACACCAAAAAGTTTCAGGAAAAAGCTTGTGGACATTGTGAGTTCTCCTGAAATTTTCTTTGTCTCTTGTATTGGCATGCTTGTCATCGTGCAGAGTGCCGTTTGAGGTGAGTTTAATCAATTGGTGTCTGACCTATTCTATCACTATATGCCTACTCACGCTATGAAGAGAATGCTCGCAAACCCCCCAGTCCCAAACTGGGCATCTTCTCTTGATTCTTTTCGCCACATTTTGAGTGATCCTCATCATTATATCTTCCGCGATTATGATTGGTCACGCAGATAAGGTGCCTGTCAGTCGCAGAAGGCATTACCACTTGATCCGTCTGGTCCATTCTAGAGAATGTAAGTTTTGAATCCTGGACAAGGATTCAAAATTTCACTGAACAACTCCCATGAGAAGGAAGTTGCTCTGTCTTCTAAGCTTTTAAATCATATTTGATACTGGCAAAATATGTCAAAATCTTGTGACAGGATCCAATTAAAACATGCTTGGGCTGATGCAAATAAACCAAAAATTTATGTGAGAATTATTGCAATGGACAAAGTCATCCTACGTAAAATCAGACATTAAATTCTGCTCTCAATTTAATCTACAACAGTTGATGCAGAGACCAAACTCCCCCCCTACTTGGTTCCTTGCCATGTTCTAGCTGATGCTTATGCTTCCTTCAACTCTATAACTTTTGTCCAGTTTATCACGCAGATCAAGTCTGCAGGGAATCAAAGGGCCTACTTTCTGCAAATCCCTGTCTGATCATCTCGGTCCTCCTTTTTTCACATTCATTGCCAGAATTTTCGCACTGGCGATGAACCTTCTGCAGAAAATGTAGGATGTCATCATTCAATGCAAACCCAACACCCCAAGTTCTGGCAAAAATGGGGCAACTTCTGTAAGATCCAATGGATGAGAAAAGAACGGAGCGAAAAACTTGTGCGACAAGTGTGGTTAGGTTTAGACTTTCAGCCAACCCCTCATTGGTCCGCCCTTGTCCGCCCCGAGTCACCGGGGTGCCGAGAGTCGGACCGATCATAGCTCGGTGGCGGACGGAGAGGACCATCGAAGTTATTGAACCATCCAGTTAAATTAACCAAGCTCAAGCTCCCCTCACACTTCCTCACCATGCTTCGTACTTCTCTCAGAACCTCTGCCGTCCCCCTCTCCCGACGTTCGGCGACCAAGGTCCCCCTCCTCAAATCATCCTTCAGCGCCTCTTCGTCTCGAGAAGCAATGATCGAACTTGAGATCGACGGAAAGAAGGTCCAAGTGGAGCAGGGAAGTGCCCTGATACAGGCGTAAGTCAAGCCCATACGATTTTTTGGGTTTACGCTCTTCTCTTCTCTAGTTGTCTTTTGCTGATTTTTCTTGTTTCTTCGGTGGTACGACGTAATTAGCTGCGAGCAGGCTGGTGCAACAGTGAGTGAGATATAAAGTCACACGTATGACTATTCAAAGCAAGATATTGATTGGTTTCGTGCCACAGATACCTCGTTTTTGCTATCATGATCGGCTGGCCATTGCTGGGAACTGTAGGTCTGTAGATAGTCTTATTGCGATCTTTTTGGTGGCTCAATCACCATCCAAACCTGTGACCGTCAAGTAGCTGATTATCTTCCCTCTGTCTGCATCCGCTGATAGGATGTGTTTAGTGGAGGTTGAGCGCTCGCCCAAACCTGTAGCTTCGTGTGCAATGCCTGCTATGTGAGCCTGGAAATTGCCGACCCTAACTGATAGCCTTAAGCCAGCTGATCGGGTGGGACTTCATGCTCTGTCTCCCAGGCCCGGCTCAAAAGTGTTCACCAATACACCACTGGTTCACAAGGCACGTGAAGGCGTCATGGAGTTTCTCTTGGCGAACCACCCCCTCGATTGTCCGATCTGTGATCAAGGAGGAGAATGCGATCTTCAAGACCAGTCGATGCGATACGGATCCGATCGGTCCCGGTTTAAGGAATACACTGGCAAACGTGCGGTGGAAGATAAGGACTTGGGTCCGATTGTTAAGACTGTAATGACGCGTTGTATTCAGTGCACCCGATGCGTGAGGTTCGCGAACGAGGTGGCTGGTGTCGATGAGTTTGGGACAACGGGTAGAGGGAACGATATGCAGATTGGGACCTACATTGAGCGAACATTGAACAGCGAACTCAGTGGAAACATCATCGACCTATGTCCTGTTGGAGCCCTTACGTCTAAGCCTTACGCATTTACTGCTCGACCCTGGGAGTTGAAGAAGACCGAGACGATTGATGTGATGGATGCACTTGGAAGCAACATTCGTGTAGATTCGCGCGGACTGCAGGTCATGAGGATCCAACCAAGGATCAATGAGGATGTCAACGAAGAATGGATCAGCGACAAGACCCGATACGCTAATGATGGTCTGAAAACTCAGCGCCTGACAACCCCTCTCATCAAGCAAGGAGACAAGTTCGAGCCGGCCACCTGGCCCGAAGCTTTGTCGGCAATTGCCGAGGGACTGAAGTCGAGCGGTGCCCAGGGCAACGAGATCAAGGCTGTTGCTGGCGCGCTGGCCGATACTGAGTCGTTGGTGTCTCTCAAAGATCTTGTCAACAAGCTTGGCTCCGACAACACCACTCTTGAAACGCCTTTGGGTGATCGGCAG